GGTGGAGGTGCGAGGGACGTGCCCGTGCACCGAGGGCCGGTGCTGCCTGGTGGCAGTGGCGGGGAGGCGGCCAGGACTCGCCCCCCAGATCGCCATCTTGGCGTGAGAGCTGGGGCGCTCTGCCTGGGGGAGAACGGCCACCTTGTCACATCGCTGCTCTGGGCCCACAGCCTCCTGTTGCTTCTCCTTCAGGAGCCTTCCGTAAGCCTGAGGAGCAGCGTGCGATGCCTCTCTTTGGGAACTCCTTCAGCCCGAAGAGGACCCCACCCAGGAAATGGGCCTCGCTGTCCAACCTGCACCTGGTGAGTCCCAGCACCTGGGGTTTGCTGCCTTGGTGGCAGGGGTGGGTGGCTCCTGCTGTGAGTGCCGTAATCCTTACAAGAGCTCCCAGCTGCTTCTGGGGCAGGAACAAGCTCTTCACCCAGAGGGCGATTGGGCTCTGGAACAGACTTCCCAGGACAGTGGTCACAGCCCCAAGCCGGACAGTTCAGGAGGTGTTTGGACAGTACTCCCAGGCGTGGTGCAACTCTTGGGAATGGTCCTGTGCAGGGCCAGGAGCTGGACTCAATGATCCTTGTGGGTTCTTTCCAACTTAGTATATTCTATTATTCCAACTGTGCTGCTTTCTTCCTGCAGTGCAGCACCTTTCCTGATCACTGGTGACTATACATGGAGCTAGAAATGGAATAGCCCAGAGAAGAATCATCACCCCACCTGCAGTCCAGAACTATGTCACTGAAAACTTCTCACCAGTGGTCTCCAAGTGCAGGGAGATGAGCGTGGGGGTGGGAGAAAGTGCAGGGATGGCAGTGAGAGGAGCCAGTCCTCTATTGCGGCAGTATATCATCCAATTAGGGTTCCAGGGCCATTTGGACCAGCATCTTCCACTGGAATGCCAGTCACTAAGAAATTAGAAAGCAGGGGGTGGCTCTGGAATTCTGTGAAACTCTGAGTGTGATATTATCCCTGCAGCTGGATAGATCCACCCGTGAGGTTGAGCTGGGCCTGGAATACGGCACCCCCACAATGAACCTTGCTGGCCAGAGCCTGAAGTTCGAAAATGGCCACTGGGTTTCAGGTAGAGTACAGCTCAGCTTGCTCTGGTCTGAAGTAACCATGGTTGGCTGACAATCTGTATTTTGACCTCCTTCTTTCCTCCAAGAATCAGGAACCTTTGTGGGGGGGGATCGCAGGGAGCTGCAGCGCTTGCGCAAACGAAACCAGCAGCTAGAGGAAGAAAACAACCTACTTCGGCTGAAAGTGGACATTCTGCTGGACATGGTGAGCCTTTGCCCAACTCCTGCCTGCCCGTAGCAGTGGGAATGCCTGAGCAAAGGGTGCTGGGTCCCCTGAAGAAGGCCGCTCTCACTGCAGCCCACTTTCTGCTTTACTCTGCTGTGCAACCCAGGTATAATGGCAAAGTGACTGTGGGAGTAAAGCCTGATCCCCTCTGTGGAAAAAGGGGAAGGTTCCCCCCCACATCAGAGTTTGTTGCAACCACTGTGACTGAGGAGAGAGAAGCCCAGGCAATGCCATGTCTCCTGTTTCCCTTTCCGCACAGAATATAGCATTCTTCTTGCCACTCTGTCCTCTGCCCTAACTATGAAACTGAGTTACAGCCACTATTTCTGGTCACAGAAGATTAAAGCTTCCATCTGCTGTCATGAGGGGTGTGACATCTATCCTATGTGTAAAACTCTGGATGACAGAATTTCCAGTAAATATACCAAAATTCAACCTTACCCAGAGAGCTCAGCTCTCATGCTTAAAATCTGGAGAGACATTCAGTGAAATAGAAACACACATCTATTCTCAGTTAATAAGGGATTTAGCTTTTATGTCACTCTAAACAAAGATTTTCTTTCCTTACTCTTCACATGTTTTAAAGCTGGAAAATGGCTTTTGTGGCTGGAACACTTAGCAGAAGTGCTAGCTGCTTTCTGGGTTTTCCAGGTGATCTCAGTGAAGCATGACATGGCAGCTTCTCCCTTGCTCAACAGAAACAAATTCCTTCCTGCAGGACCTGGCTTGTGGCTGTAAATCTGTGTGCTGTGAAGTTGGAAAAGCCTCACAAGCTTTTAACTCCTGTTGTTTGCTGTGCATTCCAGCTCTCTGAGACCACTGCTGAGTCCCACCTCATGGAGAAGGAGCTGGAGGAGCTGAAGCAGCACAGCCGGAGGAAGAAGTGAACAAGAGGTGGCCAGGCTGGTTCTAGGTCTTGGCGCACGGGATGCTGGGGCTGGCTTAGGCCTCCCAGCCATGTTGGTACTGTGTGGAGGTACTTGGTTTCACGGGACCAGGAGTGCCGAGATGCCTCCAGCGTTGTGTGGTGCCGTGGGTACTGCTAATGGCTGATTTGGCACCACAGCGCTGTTAATTAACACGATTTTCCTCAGAGCACTTTACCTTGCTACATTTCCTCACCGCAGCCCAGCACAGGTACCCTCTTCTCTAAGGCAGCCGGACAAGAGGCGGTGGAGAAGACCCATCTCCATGAGGGCTCCTCCTCGCCTTCCCCACGTACAGAAGCGGGGAGACCTCTGCCTGCTCCCCTTGGGGAGCCCGCGGGTGATTGTACAAACCTCACCGTCTGCCTTGGGCGAGCAGGATGCTGGAGTTGCTCGTTCGCGAGAGTTTTTCATATTTTACATAAAACCTTGCAATTAAAACCCGGTTTCTGAGGGTGTTTGTGACGCGTCGTGCTGTGCTGCCGGGGCCGGGATGGGGTGCGGCCGATGCTCTTCCGGGCCGCCAGGGGGCGCTGTCTCGCCCGGG